ACGTCTAGGTGTCTCGCAATCTCCAATACAAACAACCTGTGAGGTTCAATATGTGTCTATCCTCTTTCAACGCGTCTATGTGTCCGGCACTCCAACATCACTCAACCCGTGGGGTTCCAGCAGCTATCCCCACGCAACCCGTCTATGTGTCTGGCAATCTCAAACCTCCCCTTTCCGTGGGGTTTCAGTATACAGCTATAATCACTCAACACGTCTATGTGTCCGGCAATCTCCTACATTACTCAACCTGTGAGGTTTTCGTAAGCAATCCTCACTCCACGCATCCATGCGTCACGCGTCTTTGGTAGCGCATACTATGGGGCTATATTTGGGGTGGCGTGTTTTACAGCGCATTGCCAACAGCGCCAACCCACTGAAGTCTAGGGGGAATACCGAGGGGGGGGCTTGTTTTACAACGTCGTTGCCAAGCGACGAAAACCCGACCCCCATGGCAACACCGGGGGGGGGCGAAGGAGGGGGGGGAGGGGCAAAGACACTGTGTAACCTTTGCGATTTTGCTCGAGACTACAACAGTAGTATTATCGTCAGAGCCGATACATTCACTCGAGTCGCGTGCAACTCACGGCGACGCCATACATCGGAACCTACTGATGTGCTCGTGCGTTCCATAAGAATAGCAGTCGGTAACCGTGTTCGGGTGTTTGTGACTATTGAAAATGTGAAGCGTGCGGGTATCTGTTATGTAAGTAACACCTGGCTCCTATACCTAGGGGTCACGTCAGCGCTATGCATACAATGGTAATGGGCGTAACTACCTCATGCATAGTGTGGCAGTATTTCATCTTGCGCCAGAATTAGCAGTCAGAACGTGGCGGGAGCCTGGAATCTCTCCACCCCGTCTCCATAAACTCACAGCAGACGTGAACGTACAATGAAAGTGTGGCACCTTGTTCCGGCATAGACGAAACACGTTCTACGCCAAACGCGAGCATGTCATGTGCGAAATATTATCGTGGGACCACTGCCTCGCACTACTAGGAGGTTCAAAATGATGCTAACCCTCACCGCACGACCCACAAGGAGAACGTCAGTGCAACACACGAGGCTTCGTTATCGAAATTCTGAAGCATATGCATACAATGCGCACGCGATCTTCCCATACCTTCGTCTTTTCCTGCATGGCCACATGGACGGTCTCCCTGCCTCCTTCGTTCCTGTAGATCTCCACGTCCTGGTCCTCGACCACGGAAGCGGCTACCCTACGCCAATGTTTTCTCACCAGCTTCTGCTCACTCTCTGCGAAAGGATTGCGTTTCTGGATCGCCTTCCAGAGTACGACCTTTTCCGCAGGTGTCCAACAGAGACGAGTGGAACCTGGCGAGGTACAGAAGGAGGGCGTACGTATGGATGAGCGTCAGCACAGGCTCTTGTCTGCACACTTACAGGGAGAGTGGAGCAGAACTTCAGTTCGACCTGCTGTGTGATCATTACAGCCTGTTTCAAATTTTATGAACCCAGACACACATGACCCAAGTTGAAACGCGAGATATCGCAACACCCGGCACCCCCCCACCATCTCACCCACCACGCTCCTTCACCTCTACATACGCGCTGATACATCTGTACAGAACTGCTGTCGTTGCCTGCACTCGACGGCCACGTATACAAGCGGGGGGGAAAAACTGCTTCTGTACGCACGCCCTCCGCACCTGACGCACGGTGTGTTGCACCTATATGCGCCACATGGAACTGCAGAACTACTGCTGTGTTGGCGGCTTGAGCGTACCTATGCGAGGCTCAATTGATACTACGGGGGTTCCCCTATGGGCTAGGAACTTCCGGTAGGCGGCCGTTTGTCCGGTAGCGGTGTGTTTTTCCGGTTAAGGCGATTTCGCCGCACTTCTAACCGGAGAATGTGCACCTTAACGTTTTGTTTGGGGACAGGATTATTTTGGTCAGGCTCTCAAAATTTCCTGTAGGATGAAGGTAGCAGAGGGACGAACCGACACCAGTTCCAATAGCACACCACAAAGGCAATTCTGCAGGGGGCCAAGACCAAAGGAGGAGTGGAGTTCGTTGCAAAAAGCGTGGGAGGAGGTTTGTTCTGGAGTGTGGTGGAGTGTGGCATGCTGGGCCCCGCGTGGCGCGCTCGTACATCTGCCACGCCCGCAGCAGGCTGTACATCCCAAGCACGAGAAATGGGTCTTCCTCACCCACTAGCGCACGGTCGTGGTGAGTTTTATGCACTCCGCGTACCGCCCGGCTGCCATCCTCCCTCGTGCTTGTCGCGCCATGGCTGTAAGCGCCCTGCTACACGAGCTGCTGCTCAACAATAACACAACCACGGCGGTCACACGCTCACACTGCCGCGCGCGCTGAAAATAGGGTTTCCAGCAAATTTCCCGATAATCTTTGTTTTTCAACGAAAACGGGGTTCGCACCGGGTCGAACCTATACGATGCGGCCCGACTCTGGACAGGATCTTCTCTACAGCAACTTTGCTTGCAGGGAATTCGCTACAGGGTAAACTGGACCGAATAATCAACGATCGTAAAGGAAATCCCGGGGGGAAACCCTTGACTAACCTTTGTCGTTAGGCTTCTTCTTCGCCTTGCCCCCGGCACGCTGCCCACCCTTGTTGACTGCTGATCCACCCTCCGGCTCGGGCGTACCACCACCGCCTCCAGCTGCGTCGCCAGGAGACGGGCTGGAGTCTGCTACGGAGAAGGGGGTGGTGGCGGTCCCACCTTGACGTGCGAGTGCGAATTTTCCTGCCAACTTAGACCCATCTGGGGGGCTGCTGTACCCCTCATCTGGGTTGTGGTGCCTAGGCGTGCTGCGCCTGTCTGACTGGCGTCTTGGAGGCGTCGGAGTAGAGTCCATGACGAGCGCAACGACTCCAACAAGGCGGTGGCCGCAAACGAAACCCTCCTCAAAGAGCGCACTCCCTCCTCGAGCCGACGCCGGCGTACGCCCAGCACGCAACGCCCTAGCGCAGCCGCGGGGAGGCGGAGAACGCCTTCGCGCCGCGCGGCTACTGCGCGTATCCCCACCTTCGTGTACCCTTGCGTTCAGCCACCCCCAATCCTTGCTCCGTTTTTGGAGGCCCAGAATTCCACGTATCAGGTCAGAACACTTCCTGCGCGCGGTGCGGGAAAAGCCTTAGCGTGCCACGTTCCACCACCCTCCCGAACAAACCTCCTCCGATACTCTCAGCTGCGAACTCAGCTATTCGGCCTTCGCGTCGTACAGATTCGAAGCCAGTGTGGTGTGCTGTTGCACCTGGTGTCGTTTCGCCACCCTGCCCTCTTCTCCAACAGGAAAAATGTCCTTGTTTAAAAAAAATATCCGGCCTTCAAAGAAAAAGTCCCGGTGCCCATTTTCCGGTTGGAAGTGCGGCGTAATCGCTTTAACCGGAGAAACACACCGCCACCGGACAAACGGCCGCCTACCGGAAGTTCCCACCCTATAGGGGAACCCCCCTTTTGTAAACATGTTGCACCCCATCCAGAATGCGCGCGGTACCATTGCTTGTAACCTTTACCTTTACAAGGTCGGGTTTCCTGGTTTTCATGGTACTGTATGGTAGACGTTGCGTAACAGCTCCTTCTAACCCCTGTTTGTTCCTCCTCGTGCACGCATACATTTCAAACTCGAGCTTCCCGGTTGCCTGGTATTCTTGGCTCACCTTCCGTACATAGGCGCCCAACAATAAATATGTTCTTGGTAACATAGATCTCTTTTGCGCGAAGCCGAAAAAGAACGGGCGGAAAGAGATACGCAGGTGTGTAGATAGATATGGATGGAGCTCACACAGAGTCCACCACCGCCACTGCGCACGCTCTCACCTCACCCGACACCACCAGTCAGCCGTGTACGCAGGACTGCTGCTGCTGTGTGGCAGCGCGGCGACGAGTGAAAGTGTTGTAATGTGGACAATGCTCTCATAAATCAGCTGCTTTCTGCCGCTGCTGCTACTGCTGCTCCTGCTCCTGCTCCTGCTGTGTGGATGTGTACCACTTTCTTTCCTCGCTTACGCTCATAGCAGCAATAACGGGCTCTGCAATCGCCCCCGTCACCTCCTTCTATGTGTCTATTTGGTCGCCTCGGCCGGCAGCAGTTCTTTTTTTTTTCCGTCCTATCTCTGGCGCCGCCTGCTTCCTTCTCCTCGGTGCACACTACACGTTTGTCGCGTAGGTGCACTTACATAGCACAGCGTACTTGATGCACTACAACTAGGTAGACGCATCGTCCGGGGTCACACAGGAGGGGGTGCCTACGCCGGGGTTCCTACCTCCCTCCTGCGGTGCCTGTCTTAGATATTTATTTCGCGAGAAGGGTACAGCAATCCCTTCCCTAGCGATGGTCAAGTCGATGTCGACAATGAAGTCGATCAAGTTTACTAACAACGAGTTTTGCAGCGCGTCGCTTCCAACTTAGACCAGGATTTGTTTCGAGAGAAAAAAACTACCATGCCGGGACGCGAGCCCATGACCTGGCCCTTAATAGGCTGCGAGGATAGCCACTAGACCACGGTGCAGTGTGTATTGCGCATTGTCTCTCTGTTGTCGGGTGCGTCTGTTGTGGATCAAAAGAAGATCGGCCTGAAGACAGACCGGCGAAGATTGAAGCCGCCGCAGATTGAACGATTTGTGTGCACTTGCTTGTCTCGCTTTTTCGCTGCTAACAGCAGGCAAGGGGCTTCAATAATCGCTCTCGATGCTTCGTATGATGTGTTCCTCTGGCCGCCCTTGTCCTGCAGCGGTTTGTACGTCTCATTGTCTCTGTTTTGGTAATGCATCTGTGTGGCAAGCTCAAGGCCTGCCTGTAGATGATGACAGCAGCATGCAGCAGCAGCAGATTGACCTGTGTCGCCTCCCTCGCTTGTTGTGCTGCCGACAGCAGGCAACCGACTATGACAGTCAAACCCGACGCCTCCTTTTGTGAGTGCCTTTTGCTGCCCTTGGCCCACAGCAGTCGCGTGTGCCGCTGTGCTGGTTGTCTCGTGTGTTTTCTGCGTGTGTCCTGTGCTGCTGCCGCTGTGCAGCGTCTTTCGGGGGATTCCCCCTTGGCGGCGTGGCCATCAGTACATTGTCCTGCATAATCGACATGTGATTCGTGGGAGGGCAGGTATCTACCCGGCTCTACCCCTCTCACACATTGATGTTTTCTTTTTTGTTCTTCCGGTCCAACATGTTAATTGCCGTTTATATGGGCCCGGTTACGTATTCCTTGGCTGTGTAATTCTCAGGTTGTGATCTTGTCGGCGTAGGAGCGAGTACCTGCGTCCCACGCGCCCCAAATCATGACATATCCGCCCACGCGTAACTAAGCCTCCGGGACGATCAGGCACGCCGAAGGCGTGTTTTGGAAAAAATTGGGCCCAGGCAAAGTGTACGGCATGTACGTGATGTACAATTCCATGCCCTAGACGCCTGATATTTGCCTGGACTTTGTACCTGACACAACGTATTCTACCTTCAAGTTTACCAGTAGTTCTCAACCATGTCGACGGGTCATGCGGGGCTTGTCGTCGTGGCTGTTCTTTTTATGCTGCCTGGAGCTGCCTGGCTTTATGTAGGAGCAGTCGGACATCTAAATGCGTTCTCAGGCAAATATCATCTGATAGAAACGCCCTATTAGGCACCAAGTCAGACATACCTCAGAGGGTCGAAAGAAGAAGCCTTCGGGCAATGTCTCAGGCATGCCTGATCGGCCAGGGCTTAGCCGCGCGCTTCGGAAGTTCAGACTTGAGTGGCTACGACAAGCTGCGCAGACACTAGTTTTGGATATCGCCTGAATCTTTTCGATACGATGTCGAGCGCAAAAATTGGAGCAACTTTGCTTCATTTCCTGTCAAAATGTCCATGAGAAAGGCCTGCGAAACCGGATGTGGAACGCCAACCGTTTTTTTCACCAAACATGTGTGTGTACAGCAATCGGAAAATGCAGCTAGAGTTTCGTCTTTTTTAGGTACCAAGAGTGCTTCGAGGCTCGGGTTCCAGTTATGATCGCACATCACAACAATAGCAAGCTCGTCGTAGATTGCCAAGCTCTCACAAGTCAACGGATAATCGCTCCTACTGTTGCTATCGGTGCTTTGCTCCTCGCTTTTCGCTATATACCACGCAATTTTTGACCTCCTTCACGTCACTCATGCAGCTATGTCTGTATGCTGTTGAGCGGTATTGAGCTGTGAGGTGCTGTATTACGCATGGTGCAGCTGTGGGTTGGGTGGGTGCGCAGCTTTAGGGGACTCGTGTTGAACGTCGAGAGTTCCGTGGGGTATGAATGTTTTTGTTTTGGTCGAGAACGTCATATTCTACGATACTTGGATACTCGATACCGATACTTCGATACCCGATATCGACACGAGAGGTCGATACTATGTGTCGAATTATTCGATTCTGTGTCCAACACAATATGTTGTAGCGGACAACGTCCGCCTACCCGAGGAGTACATACACAGGTAGTTGCAAACACAGCAACGTCTTGCACATGCCTAGCAACAGACCCGCCATGGCCGAATGCCCGCTGTATGTGAAAGCACAGCAATAAAGCAGGCCTGGTGCCCGCTCTCTGGCTCCAAAGCATCTTGACGATGCGCTCCTCTTGCTGTTGGCAAATCGCACGATGGTGGAAGTGGTAAAAATATGGATGAACGATCTTGCGACAGCGACAGCAGCAGCAGCAGCAGCAGCAGAGAGCGAAGGCGACAGGCGGTGCTGTTGATGTGAGACTCAGAACGACATTGATGGTGGCTTCTGCCGGACCATGTCCGAGCGAGGGACGCGGTCAGCAAAGACATTACGAGCACCACCTCCAGCAAAAGAAACACGAGGCATCGGATTGACATCATGATAAAGTGTCCACAAGAGAGGATGGTTAGCGCTCCGTTTTTGGTGCTTCAGCCCCTTTCCATACCGCGCTGCCCGATTAGCTCTATCCAGTGTAGATGTGTGTCCGCCACCGCTGGTCCTTGATGCCGGCGGCAGTGCTGTTAGGTGCCGGTCGTTTTGGCGATACCGCTTGTAGCAGGGCGGGTGTGTTGACCGTTGGTGATACCTAGGCACTCCAGTGGCACTCCAGCGGAGAGCGCATTTGCACGAATCCTGAGGATCCTTCCTGATGAAATTTTATCGGGAGCTGGGGTTCCCTCCCATGATTTAATCGGGAAGAAATATCCATCTGGGTTATGTGGCGAATTGACCTTTTCCCCCCACATTTCAAACTTGATCTCCAGCAATGCCTTGAAATATGGGCCCAATCGCCGAAACCTCGAGTTTGAACTGTGCCGCCGTACGTCGCATCGTTAGAAGATGGTGTTCACTTTTTCCTGCCCTCTTGAAGATGTGCATGTACGAAAATCGAGGTCAACGGTGATGCTTCAAGAATAACTGCGCCATTCACCCTGCCTTCCACTGCTGTACAGCGGTCATTCGCCCTTCTACCTGAGTATCATTGCAGGTCACGCCTGAAATCCCCAGAACAAGACGCTACCATGTGGTGTGGACAATCACGAGCAATATCGGCGTCCGGGGTAGAGCGAACCCGGACTGCGCGATGCATGCTGCTGTGTGATACACACAGCCTCTTTCTAGTGTACAGCAAGCAGGCTTTGTGCCCTTGTAGGTGCTTGTCAGTGCAGGTTGCAGTGACACATCGACCGTGAAAACAGAACTTGTCGACGTGCACCGCCGCAAGACATGTATGTGCTATGCTTTCGCAAGCAAATCGGCGTATAGTTAATACCGACTGCGGCGCGATACGCACAGCCTCCCACTGCTGTGCAGCAAGCAAGGCATGGGCCCTTCTTCGTGTCACTGCAGCTCACGGTGAGGTACACCGACCATGAAAGAGAACTCGTCGAAATGATGAGATGA